TGTAATGTTTTTTTGTGAGGAAATATTGATCATTTTTACCCGACAACCTCTTTACAGGTTCTTGATGATTCTGACAATTCTGTTGTGGCTAGGTGCATCGACATGTTTTCTGCACAGGAAAATTCCGTTGGTGCAAGGGCAACTCCTCAGGCTACTCTACAACACCTTTTTAGATGTATAGAAGGATCATTGTACAAATATTAATTTTTATTCCTTTATTTGAGTTGTATATATACAGGATGTAAGAAACACTTTACATGAGAGAGAAATATACAACAAGGAAAAACTTCTTCTTCTTCGAGAGCTTTTCCATCGCTTTTCCAAGTTCCTCTTTTTTCCAGCAATACCAAAATGGTATCAGAGCAAACCTAATTTTTTTTTTTTTTTTTTCCTTCGTTTCCTTTTTCTCCTTCTCTCTCAAGCCTCTTTTTCTTCTAAGCTATGGCTGATCAAACCCCTTCTCACACCTCTTCTACCTCCGACACTCCATCTGCAAATCACCCACCCTCTGTTCTTCAAAACCCAGATCCTTCTTCCCCCTCTCTTTTACAAACCTCCGTTGTTCAAAATCTCGATCCGTATGCCAACCCTCTTTTTCTTCATGCTGCGGATTCCTCCAGTTTCATCCTTGTTTCTGAGAAATTGCAAGGTGAATCCAACTATAATCTTTGGTCCCGCTCTGTTATCAAGGCTTTGATGACGAAAAACAAACTGGGTTTCATTTTTGGTACGATTCCAAAGCCCCCTGAAACCCACTCCGACTATGGAGCTTGGTTGCGTTGTAATGCCTTAGTAAGCACATGGCTTGCTAACTCTGTTTCTTCTGAAATCGGGAGTCTGATCCTCTACCTGGATGAGGCAGACGTTATTTGGCATACTCTGGAGACCCAATACAAACAGAAGAACGTTTCGAAAATCTTCAATGTGGAGCAGAAGATAGAGTCCCTCCAACAGGGAGCTTTAGATCTCAACACGTTTTATACGAAGCTGAACACTCTTTGGGAAGAGCTGAAAAATTATGAGCCATACCCGATTTGCTCTTGCGGCGGTTGCTCGTGTCACGCAAATGCCCAGTTCGTCGAACTGGTTGAACGCCGTAAGGTGGTCCAGTTTCTGATGAAGCTCAACGAATCATATCATCCTGCTCGACGCCAGATTCTCATGCTGGAGCCTCTTCCGAGTATTTCCAAGGTTTACAATCTGGTGTCTCAGGAAGAACATCAACGTCAGGTTCGTTCTTCCTCCACTGACCCTGTCGTTTTTTAAGCCTCGGCATCACGTTTCCCCAGGAGCAGATTTACCCCTCTATCTCAAGGGAAACCTCGTCCCGTATGTGCACATTGTGGCTTGAAAGGACATACAATTCATCGCTGCTACAAACTGCATGGGTATCCGCCATCTTCTCGATCATTTGGCTCATCTCAGCCGCCTCTCCTGCCGACACCTAGGTCAGGTATGGACTCCAACCTGTCAAACCCTGTTAATCTGGTTGTTTCTGAGTCAGGCCTTCAGTCCAAGCCCAGTATGACGTCTGGCGCATCACTAAGCACCATGGCCCAGGCCCAAGCCTTGTTCGACACCTTTCAGTCTCAGCTTAAACTTCTAGGTTCTTCCTCCAAAATTTCAGACTCGGTTTCTGTTACTGAATCCACCACAAACCCTACACCAGGTAAATCTCCCATTTCCTTTTCTCCTCATTTTTTATCTCTCCTTGACCCTGATATACATACCTCTAACCTCTGGATTATAGACACCGGAGCGAGTTCTCATGTTTGCTGTGATTTGAGGTTGTTCTCTGATATTCGCACTATCCCTCCTGTATCTGTCACTCTCCCAAATGGTTCCCTATTGTCTGTCTTTCAATCCGGCACTATTACTCTCTCTAAATTCCTGGTGCTACATTCGGTTCTTTACATACCGTCTTTTCGTTTTAACCTTCTCAGTATAAGTTCCCTAACCCGTCATCATCCTTATACTGTGTTTTTCACTCATGATGCTTGCCTTATTCAGGACCCTATGCAGGGCTTGATGATTGGGAGGGGTGAGCTTTTTCGGAACTTATACTCAGAACGGGCTCTTTTACATTCTAACTAATGCACCCACAAGTGGAACCAGTGAGTGTTCGGGCAAAGGCTATTACTTGACTAGGTGTCGAGTGGAAGAAATTGAAGCATCTAACTGGCAGGTTCTGCTCAACTTTGGTTTATCAAAATTATCATCTTCCATTTTTTTTTTCTCGTTTGGTCAGATTCGTAATGTCGAGCCCTTCTTTTTCAATCGAATATACCATTATCTTATTGGGGTGAGTGTGTTAAAACCGCTGTTTACATTATCAACCGACTACCAAGTCCGGTTCTTAATCATAAGACACCATTCGAGATCCTTACAAACACTAAACCCACTTACAAACACATGAGAACCTTTGGTTGTTTATGTTTTGCCTCCACTCTTATCAAAGACCGTCATAAATTCTCTCCACGGGCATCTCCTTCCATTTTTATTGGTTACCCCCCAGGTATCAAGGGTTACAAAGTCCTAAATTTAGAGACAAATGTTATTACAGTGTCTAGGAATGTTACATTCCATGAACACAAGTTTCCCTTCAAAAAATCTCCTCTGTCTCCCAATACTTTGGAGTTTTTCCCACCTCAACCATCTCCTTATCATTTCTTCGATACTCCTTCTTCTCCATCTGTTGGTCCATCAACAGCTACTTCAGGTTCTCTTCCTTCTCCTCCTGAAGTTTCACCCCAGACACCCATTTCTGATTTTCCTTTAGAGTCTTCCATTACAGTTCCTTCAACTGAATCCTCTCTTTCCTCTCCCTCTTCTGAGTCCACAGTTTCAAAATCTCCCAAGTCATCTTCCTTTTTTACTCCTCCAACTTTACAGATAGTTGAATATGATGAGAACACTCGCAAATCTCAGCGAACAAGAAACCCTCCTGCCTATCTTTCAGATTATCATTGCTACCTTATCCGACATGACAGCCCCCACCTGATTCATCCCAGACCTTATACCCTTTATCACAATACTTAACATACTCAAACCTCACTTCATCTTACAAACCTTTTGCCTTATCTATTCTCACCTCCCTTGAACCAAAGTCTTATACCCAAGCTTCCAAGTCTGAAATTTGGAGAAGTGCCATGAAGAGTGAGCTTGAGGCACTGTGTCGTACCAAGACCTGGGAATTATGTTCTCTTCCTGATGGTAAGACTACAGTGGGTTGCAAATGGGTTTACAAAACCAAGTATCATGCTGATGGATCAGTTGAGCGCCATAAGGCACGGTTAGTAGCAAAGGGGTATACTCAAGTTGAAGGATTAGATTATTTGGATACCTTTAGCCCAGTGGCAAAACTTACTTCTGTTCGAATGGTTCTTGCCTTAGCTGCCTCACAGAAATGGCTTCTTGCTCAGTTGGATGTCTCTAATGCTTTTCTCAATGGAGACCTATCGGAAGAGATCTATATGACTCTTCCCCCTGGATACTCCTTGCTTACGGGGGAGACTGTATCTCCTACTTCGGTCTGTCGTCTTCGGAAGTCAATTTATGGGCTTAAACAAGCCTCTAGACAGTGGAACATCAAGCTTTCACGCACTCTGATTGATGCTGGGTTTCACCAATCTACTGCTGATACATCTGTTTTTCGAAAGAATGTTGGTGCCTCAATTACAGTTGTGTTAGTGTATGTGGATGATCTTTTATTGGCAGGGAATGATGCTGAAATGATTTCTTCTACAAAGGCTTCACTTCAAACTCTTTTTCAGATTAAGGATCTTGGATGTCCAAGATATTTTCTGGGAATTGAAATCTCAAGATCATCCAAAGGCATTCACTTATGTCAGCGGAAATACGCCTTAGAGCTGCTGGAAGAGTATGGATTATTGGGTGCCAAACCTGTTTTAATTCCTTTGGATACTCGTGATAAATTGGCTCGGGATTCTGGTGAACCATTATCTGATGCTTCCTTCTATCGACAATTAGTTGGAAAGCTTATTTATCTCTCTGTCACGAGACCGGATATTTGTTTTTCAGTTCAGAAACTGAGCCAATACATGTCACGCCCCTGCTCTACTCATCTCCATGCTGCCTTCAGAGTTTTAAGGTACCTGAAATCTTCTCCCTCTCAGGGCCTTTTGTACTCAGCAGACTCTTCTCTTACTCTTAAGGCATACTCAGACGCTGATTGGGCATCATGCCCTGATACCCGTCGATCTGTCACTGGCTATTGCATATTTCTCGGAAGCTCCATGATTTCCTGGAAATCGAAGAAACAACCTACAGTTTCTCGCAGCAGTGCTGAATCGGAATATCGTGCCTTAGCTCTGCCTTCATTTCCAGCTTTTTCAATCTCTAGTGTTGATCTCTGGCATCAACGTCTTGGACACCCCTCTAGCTACAAAGTGCAAGCATCAAGCACCTCTTCATCTCTGTCTTTTGTTCCTTCAACATCTGTTAATACAGATTGCAGTATATGTCCTTTAGCTAAGCAAAGACGATCTTGTTTTCCTGTTGGTCGACATTTGTCTCTAAAACCTTTTGACTTATTACATATTGATACTTGGGGGCCCTTTCATACACCCACCGTTGATGGTCATCGTTATTTTTTAACCATTGTTGATGACTGTTCTCGCACAACTTGGTTATATCTCCTCTGTTCCAAAAGTGATGTTTTAACAGCATTTCCAGATTTTCTAAGTCATGTCGAAACACAATATGATGTTAAAGTTAAAGGCATTCGATCCGACAATGCACCTGAACTTTCTTTCAAATCTTTACTCTCCAAAAAGGGCATTACTCATTACTTTTCTTGTCCTTACACACCGGAACAAAATTCGGTTGTGGAAAGGAAACACCAACATATTCTTAATGTTTCTCGAGCCCTTCTTTTTCAATCGAATATACCATTATCTTATTGGGGTGAGTGTGTTAAAACCGCTGTTTACATTATCAACCGACTACCAAGTCCGGTTCTTAATCATAAGACACCATTC